TGTCGTCAGTCGTGCCAGAGCATTGCTCTTGATAGGTCACGGGTGTGTCCGCTGAGGTTTTCTTCTGTCTCCTGCCACTGTCACCCTGCCCTGATGACGCTCTGTCATAAAGATCGCTCTTGAAGTCGTGGGTCTAATACGTTCAAGTGTCAACTTTGTTGTAGTTTCATAAGCGTAACATCCAGTTGAATAGAGGGCCCAGATTTTTACAAATTCCTTCCTAGCGTCTTTGTTGGCAGGAATCTTGTGTGGCTCCACTAGAAGATGATGATCTTATTTGAGCTCAAGGAAGAAAATGTGCTAATGTAACAACAAAGTCTGGGAATAATGCGGTTCATTTTTTGAAGATATGTTAAATAGAAAGGTCCTTTGGGGGTTTTACTCGTCAAAGTAGCTGCTTATCTAAATGCACAGTAGAGTGAATTTACAGTTCACTGCAGCGTTCTCCATCATATCAAAGGCAGAATAAACTCTACCCAACCAGCATGTTTAGGTCTTCCAAAGTGCTTTTTTGTTTACTTGTTACAAAAGAAATTCTATTGAGCTAAATTTCAATGTAGCTTAAGAAACGCTGTCTTTAATGTGTTTACAGTCCTCGGAGTCTGCATCCAGGAAGGACGGCATCGTTGTCAGCAGGGGGTCACTCTCAAAAAAGAAACACGAGGGGGGGGGGGGGGGGTATAGCAGCAGAGGTGCGACTCTTAAGTGAGCGGGGGAATCATTGTGCAGGTGCGTGCGTGTGCGTGGAGAGGGAGTCAGAGAGAGAAGAGGAGAGGGGATGGGGGGATAGGGGGGGGCTGTAAAGTCCGAGCATATAAATAAGGTATCAGTGGATCATCTCAGCTCTCTCAGGGAAGGTGCTTGTGTGTTTTTATTCTTCGCAGCTTTAAGGGTCATTGATGACCAATTATGGTGTTTAGGAAATGACATCAGCTACATGCAGTGGGCTTTATTTAAATGATGCAGTGCATATCCCTCCCCCTCCCCCCCACACACTACACATCCTACATTTTCATCTTCTTCGTCGACCCGGCGTCAAGATTCCAGGCATCTCCCTGCATGCAAGCCTGTCTTCTTAACACCGTTATCTCCCTCCTTTTATCTCCTAATCAAACTGTGTGTTTTCTCTCCCTGGCTCTGATTAAAATACCCCACCACTGTAATTTACACCCCCCCTTGTACTAATTATATAACCGCCTGTCTCGCCAGTGGGACCACAGTGGCTCAGTTGCAGTCTTGACCCCGAGGTTGAAACTGCGTCTCTCCCGCAATGCTGCACAGTTATAATTAAAATTGGTTTACACCAAGTTATTTAAGGAGCCAATCTCTCCCTTCTGCTGATTGCAATTGGTTTATGCATTAGGTTTGCGCTTCAAGGGTTCAGCAGTGTGATGGACGACTACTTTTTGTCACTGGGAGTTGAGGCATCAGTAAAAAGCAAAGCTAACTAAGTAAAGCCGCGTCGCCACATTTACAGACAGTCAACACTGCATGACAGCAATTTATAAGATTTCATATCAGGGTTGAGTTTGTTTAAAGGGACTATAGCATTATCTTATCAGAGAGTTATTCCCTTTCATACATCACCACTGATTGTATATTCTAGGAATCAGAAATGTATTTTGATAAATGTCACTGAGGATTTATGAACCCTTATAGCCTATAACAATATTATAAACACCAGTACCAAAAATAACACTTTCAGACCACTTGCTGACTTTATAATAGCCAAAATTTCCTGTGCATTTGCAGACTCAACATGTACAGATGAAATAAAGGAACGTCAAATATCTACGCAAGGGATGGAAAACATTCTTCCAAAATAAATTCCGTCATTTGGATTTTCCCCACAACTTGTAGCATTCAGCGAGTCCCGAAAGATGTTTTCTTTAATATGTCGCCCATCAGTTTGTTGACAGACTAAAAAGTTCAATCCACAATTGGCTCCCATCCAGGTCCTTGTTCTCTAGGTCACCATATTATTGAGGCCCATCTGCTGTCCTACACAGCTGTGTGGTGGATATCTGGCCATGTGGTAATTAAAATATCATGGTGAACATTTTCTCATGTATTAAGAAATCCAATTTTCTTTGCTGTACTGTAAAAAACAGCGACATTTTCAATTCACGTCAGAAAAAACAGTGTCAGCTGCTCCTCTTTGTGTATCTATACAAACCTGAGTCAAAGAACTTGAGTTATTTTCAGCTATTTCGTTAGTATAACATGGATTTTACATTCACAGCTGCATCCTGCTATGTGATCTGAGAGAATTGGCAATTGGAAAAACCGCAGCCTTCCCAAATAGTTACGGGACCAAATCTGAACCATCAAATAGAGCAACAGGGACACGCTTACATGGACTCCGACCTCACAGCAAATCAATACAGGGAGTCATGTCTGCAATCCAAAGTGGCTGCCCTATTTTCTCCAGTAATGTTTGCTTTGTCACACCATTTATTGCTCACTGATAAAGATATGCCTTTAATCACTGCATGACCTCGAAGATCAGATCAAACAATAATTGCATCCTCGCCGTCATGCCGCCGCTAAACCAAGTCTTCATTTTAGCCTCGTAGACATTTGTTTGAAATTGTTTAAAATTAGCACGTAATTAAATTATGGATTACATTGTCCTTTGATCCCCAAATATGTAACATTTGGATGATTTTCCTCAATGCGTTTTTAGGAGAATGGGACAGACGGACAGAAGAACCAGAACCATAATGCCCGCTACCCCGGCTGTTATAGAAAAAAGAAAATGGGCGAGAGTGAATTCATAGATCTCAATTGTCTCTCTGGAGGCCACACTATAACAGTCCTCTGAACAATAACATTAGCATTTCAAAGTTCAAATGGCAATTTATTTCCCCCGCAAGAGTGACAGGTGGCGATAATGTGCTGCTTTAATAGCCGCTTTCAAAGTGGTGTATTTATCAAGTGGAAGAATTATTATGAAGGGCGGCAAAGTTTTGCTTATGGTGATATAACCAAAACTGGAGATAACAGGGAATGAACTGTACCTTTCCATCTCAATACTGCTGTGTAAAACTGCAGAAGACACGACGCTCTTCTGTATACACGTGTGGCACTTCTGATTCTGTCTACTTTGTAAGATTGCAACCACCTTGATCTTGCTTCCTGCTCCCTGGTGAAGTGGAAACATGGCAGCCACAGGAACATGAGAACCCTGCTGTAGCATCCAACGTCTCTTCAAATCTAACTTCATTTTCATTTTCATTTAAAGTTGTCATCGTCTTTTCCACTCTATATCGCTGCAATGCTGCTTCCAATTCCCGCAGCGACGGTGACCTTCCGCGTGAAAAAATAGGATTCTGTCAGCTAGAGTTTTGCGCCGCAGGCATTAGTGAGAATTACATTTAAAGCCCCATAGGAGGTTGACTCAATCGCATATTGTCACGGGAATGTAAACAGGGAGATACCTGAAATGATCAGCAGACAGGTGTGATGTAGTGCATTTGTGTGCGCACATGAATAAGTAAATGATTGCCGAATCAACAGAAGAGAAATCTGTGGTAAACATGGGAATGCTGGAACGGGGCCTGACGCAAATGTAGAATTCAATCACAACATTACAGATCGAAGGTCAACCAACCAAACAAAAAGCTTGGTCATCATGTGCCCTTATTAAAATCTCTATCTCAACAGGCTCCTCACACCGAAACGCACAATACATGTCCTATAAATAAAATAAGGAATACCCCTATGGCGCGTTTCCACCGAGCGGTACGGTGCGGTACGGGTCGGGTCGGTAGCCTTTTATTTGTGTCTCCACTGCCAAAAGTTGAGAATGGTACCAAAAATCCGAACCGTACCGTACCACTTTTTGGGTACCCTTCCGTTGGGGTACCTGGCACAGTTGTTTGGTACCAAAGGGTGGAGCTAGACTCACTGCAGAACGTTGATTGGTTGAAAGAGTGTCGTCATTTGCGCGTGCCGCAAGGGGAAAGACAACACACGTAACACACTTGCAGCAAGTAGCCTTTGCCCAAACAAAGATTGTCGTCTCCTTGTGACAAACAGCCACATATCGAGAAGCAAGAACAGGATCGGCTGTATGTCCTCCATTGTTGTTTGCGGTTAACTTTCAGTTTCCGCGCGATCGAATGACGTCAATCTACTTTCCGTCATATACGACGCATATCAAGTGACGTTATAACTACTTTCTGGAATACACCAAGCCTATCAAGTAAGGGTACTGTTGGCGGTGGAAACGCGCGCCTAATCATGGTTAACGGACCCGACCCGTACCGTACCATACGGCTCGGTGGAAACGCGCCATTAGAAGGGTCAATTGTGAAGTTCCCCTAAGGGAGGTTAGGTTTCCAACACCTCATCAATAATGCATCAGTGACTGGATTTAACATCTACCTGGAGGACAATATGTGCAGACATAGACATTCTCAAGTATTACCGCACTTGAATGATCTCTTGACATCTCACAAATCCTGCTGCCAGTGCAAGGAGACGATATATTCCCAAAACACATCAACTTAAAGAATCATAAGTGTCAATAAATGTGTAAAACATTGGAATATATTGTAGTTGCAAGCCAAACTAAATGTTTTAGAGCTATGTTATGGTATGTATGTAATCCAATGTCGAACGTTGTATGTGGGCTACAAGAATATTAAGCAACTAAATGTGATCAAATTACATGACTGGGAAAGGAAGAGTATATTACTCCTTACAGAGGGTACCTACTTTACATTGCAAGAAGAAATAACCTTATTCTGTCAGTCATTGAGTTCCCCATTCCATATAAATAGAATAACATATACTCTGCATAGTAAATTCAGATATTTCAGCAGAACCATCACACTCCCATCCACCATTCTCCAATTTCCAGCTGTAGGCAGATTTTTCTTTGCAGATT